AATTAAGGAATGGATCAAGATCAAATGAAGCAATGGATTAAGATCAAATTAATGAATGGATCAAGATCAAATTAAGGAATGGATCAAGATCAAATTAATCAATAGATCAAGATCAAATTAAGGAACGGATCAAGATCAAATTAAGCAATGGATCAAGATAAAATTAAGCAATGGATAAAGATCAATTGAAGCAATGGATCCAAGCAGGCTCCAGACCTTGCACCCTCCCCATGTCCCAGGCTGCCTCTGAATCCCCTTCCAACACTCTGGGCAGACCGAACTCCACATTTTCTCATATAAAAACCTGTTCTCCTGTCCCTGAATAGTTCTGTGGGTGTTTCTGCAGCATCCCCCTTGCATCAGCAATGCTTTTCAGTGCACACAATTTTCCACTGCACTGGCCTCCAGTGTACCTGTCTGAAGGGCAAAACAAATATGGAATCACTCAAATTCTTGCCCTGATCCCCAAATTACTCACAAAGCCATCCCATGGGTCCACCTGCATGGCCAGGGTGTCTCTCCACCCCTGGCATGTCCTACCTCACCAGAGCACCTGGCCCGTGGAAGGTTCTGGACCCCACAGCTCTGGGGTGAAGCTCTCCCCGTGGTCCCACCTGCCCCAAACCTCCCTCCACCCCACACTGTGCCTCCAAAACCCATCCCAGCACCTTCCAATCTGCCTCTGGCCAACAACTCCATTTCAGGGACACGTCTGGAAAGTTCAAGATGAAACAGGGTAAGGAAGGGGGTGAAGAACCCAATACATTGAAAGCAATATTGTGTGTTTATTATGGATTTAAGCCCCCCTGCCAGGAGGAGCCACACAGGTGGTGGGAAGGTGCTGCCCTTCCCTGCAGGGAACATCTCAGATCTTGGAGCAGAGCTTGGAGTGGCTCAGGTGTCACACCCAGCAGCCCAGCCTGGTTTTCCAGCCTTCCCCAGGGGTGGGATACTTTCCATGAACAATGGAAATGAATGATTTCCATGGAAAACCCCACCATAAACACACACCCAGAGCCTCCTCAGCCCTGCAGAGCCCACTCAGCTCCACAATGGGCTGGAGCAGAATCCTCTCAATTTCTGTCAGAGTAAGAGGTAAGAGCTGCTCAGGGTGGGCTGAATTCAATCCATCCACACTCCTGAAAACCCCTCTGGCTGCAGCTCTGCTCCTCACACACACCAGGAGCAGACACAGATCATCACAAGGAGTTGTGCTTTTTATTGAATCCATTGAATGTGCAATTAAACCAGATATTTATTATTCATCCATATAGTTCTGGACACAGACACGATAATGTTTACATCATTTACTCTGAAATATAAGTTACTGTGTGCTGCTGTCACCTGGACTGGCAGAGGGCAAGGGAGGAACAAATAAATTCACAAGATCCTACACAAAAAAATGAGAGGGAGCCACCACTGGGACTCACAAGAGCATCACAACACAAGAGCACTGCCAGAGGAGCAGAGTGGAGTGCCCTGAGCACCCCAATTCTGTGAGCACACTGAGGACAACAGGACCTGGAAGGACATGGGGACCCTCTGGGAACACCCCCTGCACCCCCTGCTAGCCCTTCCAGTGGGGCTGCTCGAGGTTGGGGAGCTACACTGACTAACATCTGCTAAATGGCTTTGATTTCATGCCCCACCACGCTGAGGTATGTTCCAGGAACCTTCTGGAAGGAGTGGAGCCTCAGCATCTCCCTGAGGCCACGGGAGCAGGGGAAGGAGCGTGGAGCAAAGGTTTGAGATACATTCCTTTATTTCAGTGCAAAAACATGGCAACACTCATCTCCTGCACCTGCAGAGCTCGGCCTCCTCTCTGTCTCTAAAGGAGGAATTTCAACCTTTGGTAACATGGCAGGAAAAAGGGATAAAATGAGGCTGGAGGATACCAAAGCTGCCAACTACAGAACTCAGGAAGAGCTGGAGGTTGGAACCAGCATTGCTAAAAGTGTTGTTGGATGAACAACAAGGTTTGATGCCTTAAATACTGGATTTGGAAATTTTCCTCTACTCTGATCAACACTTCCCTGCCCTCTTCCAGTGCCCAATCCCACCAGGCCCAAAACACCTGGATATAAATGAAGAGGGTGCAGCATCCAGGCCCTGCTGGAGCTCTGTCTGTGGGCATGGGGCTGGCTCTACAAAAAGCCTCCACCTGACCAGGATCACACAGAGCAGTGCTTCAGCATCCCTCCACCAGACTGGCAGGTTTATTAGGAGCCAGGATCTCTTTCCTACTGCAGGAATGCTGGACACAAGTGAGGGTCAGCCCCAAAGCTCCCAGCACATTCCCCCTGCTCACCCCAAAATACAGAGACAGAAGCACAGGGCTCCAGGGGACACTTCCACGTGACATCAGGGTATGAGAGACAAAGATAAAGAATAAAGTATTGCACTACACATGCAGGTTCCACATGGGGCTCTGGGGATCAGGGGAGCATTTCACTTTGTCCAGAAGAGTAAAGATCCCAGTGTTTGTTCTCCAGGTTGGTCACTTTTCCAGCTGTTGATCTTGCACTTGGTCCACCTTCAGTCTAGGGTAGGGACTCTTGCAAAAGAAGCCAAATCCATCAGGAAAGCATCATGCACATGTATAAAGCATCAAGCACACACTGGAACCCACTCACATGGAGCCAGGATAGATAGTTTGGTGTGAGTTTCCCCAGCACAGGTACTGCCCTACATGATTAGAAAGTCACTCTGTCCCACTGGGCTCAACTACTCCCTGTGGCACCTATGGGGAAAGAGTAGGACATCCTTCTCTCAGACAGCAGACACAAGAAACCAAAATTCCAGATTTTTTTTACTCAAGCAGAATCTCTTTTGATTTACTTCAATTAAATTTTGGCCCAATATCTCATGGATAGTTTAAAAGTTAAGGGTAAATTCAGAAAAGCAGAGAATTCAGGCATGCAGCTTCCCAAACTTTCAGGAGCTCCCCCCTCCCAAACTGCTCTAAGATACAGCTCTGACAATACAGAGGGGCCAACAAGAAGAGCAGATCCACCCCACTGCAGGCTCCTTTCTGAGCAGAAAAGGAGAACTCAAGCACTGCTTTAAAATAAAAGTACTTACGTTCCTTCTTCTCTCAGAAGAGCCAAGAACTTCTTCACCCGATACTCAGGATCCATCTAAACACCAAACACATCCCCATTAGTGCCAAAAAAAGAAAGCACAGAATCAGGAATGTCCTGAGCTGGACAGGACCCACAAGGATCATGGAGTCCAACAGACACCCCAAAAATCCCACCCTGAGCATCCCTGAGAGCTCCACAGACCAGTGAGGTGAAACCTTAGGAAAGTCATCACAAGCAGGAAATAACAAAGGTCCACCCAGAGAGTTCTGCTAAAAACCCACTATGACCTGACACAGTGAGACAAATCTCTCTTTTCATCCTTTAAAAATCTGTTCCAAAGCCACCAGCTGGAATTCAAACTTGCCAAGGCCAGGGTTCTGTTCCCAAATGGAAAATTCTGCCTCCCACCTCTCTGAGTCCATAACTGAGTCCATAACCTGGGGAGACACAGCATTTACCTGCACACACAGCTCCTTGTCCAAAAAAATACAGCTGAAAACAACTGCAATTTGAAAATTTGAAAACTCAGACTTGATCAAATTGCTTATTAAAAATGCAGGCACAAAGCCCAGAGGCTGATCTGCTCAGGAAGGAGCAGAAGCTGGAGTGGAGCAGAGGGGCAGCAGGGTCAGGACTGCTGGACACAGCCTCTGTAAACAGAAATTCTGCTGCCAAACTGAGGGGGAAACTCTCTGGAACAGAGCTCAGAGAGGGAGAACATGGATGGTGCAGCATCCCCAGGACATCCAGGACCCTCCAGAAACAAAGGAACTGCAGGGAAGTTGATTATCTCCAGTCCAGAGAAGGAGATCCTCCACCAGGATGTGTTGAGCCCCCCTAAAAGCCTGCCATGAACCCCAAACCCTCAGCATGTCCAGCTGCAGTGTTTGGTTTAAAACAAAGCAATGTATTGCTTTAGCATAAATAAAGCTTAATCAGCAGAAATAAAACTTAATCTAAGCTATTTGTCTTTAATGTATCTTAACATTATGATCTTTCAAAGTTCTATGTGATCTTTCAAAGTTCCCAGTTATGAAAATTAAGACACATTAAAGACAAATAGCTTAGATTAAGTTTTATTTCTGCTGATTAAGCTTTATTTATGCTAAACAGAAGTTACCAAATCAGGAAAGCCTGGAGGTGCCAGAAGGGGTTTTTGGGAACATTCCCTGACTCATCCAGGCTCAGGAGGAGATTTTGGCTTTGGGAGTGCTGCCAGCAAGGTCCAAGAGCAACAAAACAGGGAGAGGAAGCAGCAGGAACCATGGAGAGAGCAGCCAGGGCAGGGTGAAGCCAAGGTGGGACCCAAGAGCACTGGAGGTGGCCCTGTCCTGCAGCCAAGGCCACTGCAAACACCTGGGGATTCACATGGCAAATCTGGAGTGGACCCAGGGATCAAAGGCACAGAATAATTCCAGGATACTCACTGTACACAAAGCCAAGAACACCAGTAACAGAGTTTGGGGAAATTAGAAATTGTGGGGTTACACAGCTCATAAACAAGGTGACAATTCACCCAGGGCACCAGAGCAGCTCAGGTATCCCAAGAAAGGATTTTGATATTGGTTCACTGTTACTTCAGTGTGAAACACACTGGAAGGTATTTGACCAGCTGAGGAATCCCTGCAGGGAGCTGAGGGTGCGGTCACTGCTTTAACAAAGCAAAACCCACCACTAGATTCAGAGGAAGACACAATGTGCACATTTTTTACAAATAACTCAGTCATCTGGCATCTAATCAGCTGAATTTTGAGAAATTTCATCCATCACTTGGAAATCTTAAGTGATTTCAGACTGAAATCTCCTTCTGAAAAGCTGTGACTGT